ATGTTGGTTTGAGGGTGACGGCACCGTATCTGTCTTAGACGCGGCTTGTATGTGTCCATGCCTTTCTTAGGCAAGATTTGGTTTGGCTGCATGCCATATCCATTGTATATATTACATTGTAGTGTAATTTTTGCATCCAGCATTAGGATCATTGATCTTTCCTCTCCGGGACATTTCCCCACTTATGTCATTCCACCCAATTACTTGTTCTTGTGTCCGTCTACATCACTCATAGTTCTGCATGTGTACGCGCCTATTCCACGCCACGCTGGTATGTTGGTTTGAGGGTTGCGGCACATTTTCTATGGTAGACGGACTTTGCATCTCTATTATCCTTTTGACATTTGTGTGGTTTTGAATCGCTCATGATTTGATCATGATTCAATTGCATTGCATTTTCATTTGCATTATTATACATAGTTTTGTATATATCGCATATCATTTTGCATTCATTTTGCATGTTATGCATGTTGCTAACAATATTGTACCTGTTGAGTTTTCTTTCTCTTTTAGGCACGATATTGTATGTACGGTTCATTTGAAACTGGTGCGACCAGATGAACCGCACAGGTATTGTATGCTCTGAGTGAGACGTATCGAGAATTGCATAATTCTCTTACATCCTTTCTGCATTGTAGTGTAGTTGGATTTGTGTTTGCTAGCTTAAAACTATCGCATGTTATGCTTCGTTACAGCTTTCTTTGCATGATCATAAGTTATGTTCGGCTTCTTGCATTATCGGTTGCATTTTGCCCCTGCCTTCGGGTACATATCTTTATTGCCTTGCATGCTTTGTCTAACTCTTCGGCCTTGTCAAAAATGGGTTGTCTCTGGGCTTTGACACTTACTCCCGTCATTCCTATGACTTTCGAGTTCTGTCAAAGAGGGGCAACTGTAGACACCCCATTTTTGACCGTCCTCAAGACTTGGATGTCACCGTTTGAACACTCGGTGATCATCCTTGTTTGTGTTCGTCTTGAGTTCCCGGAGGTCTCGGCTACGCGCCTTGCCTCAGGATCTCTCGACTCAACTGTTTTGTGTTTGGTCTAGCACCAAACACTTGTGTTTTTGCTTTGGAGGGCAGGGAATGGCTTGTTGGCCATCCCCACACTCCACCGGCCATGGCTTGAGGCCACCGGCTGTGTTTTGTTGCTATCGACCAAGTATTTGGCCGACCGGCACTCTAGCTGGTCGACCGACCATGTATTTTGGTCAAATTGCATTTTTGGCTGGGCGACTACTGTTCATCTACTTTTGCAGATATTTTTATGCCAGTTGTGCTAGCTGGCATACACTTTGCTCCCCTCCATACACGTGTATGGAGGGCTCTCCCTCTTGACTAGCTTACTTGAGAAGCTTTGCAAGAGTGAGCTCTATAATAGGGAGCCTCTTCTCCCTCCATTAGGGTTAGACAAAAAAAATCCCAAGGGAGCTCTGGTTCTAGGGTTAGCCTAGTGTATCTATTCTATCTCTATTTCTCTCTCTCTTTTGCCTTGTGTGTGTGTTTAGTCTTACTATTGCACACAAACACCTAGTCCTACACCTTCTCTTGGTTGCTGAGGGACCAGAAGGCTGTTCTTGGTGTTGTTGGGTGGTTTTGAGCTTGAAGAAGCTGCTGGAGCATCATTCTTGAAGAGGGTCAACAAGGGTAAGATTCTTGCCCTTTTTATCCCATATTTGCATAGTCTTTTTGCCTATCTTGCAATTGTTTTTAGACTCTATGTATAACATATAAAAGTCTTGTTTTGCCTGCTCTAAATAGTTGTTTAAGAGTGTTTTGTTGTTTGAGGTCGTTTGACCCCTTTTAGGGCTTGTTTGGCCCCATTTTGTGCTATTTTGGGTGAGCTCCGGGACCACCTTGTTTGGGCCTCCTCACCACTGAAATCTTGAGGGATTTCAGTGGTGAGGATGGTGTCTTAAGGTCCTAAGAAGGAGAGGGCCATCCCTTCTCCTTGTTGTCTTCAAAATGTGCCATTTTAGCCTCAGGTGTGAGCACCATTCTCGAGTTCATGTTGGCCATGTCTTAGTTGTTATTTGTGCTTATTTTGCCATGATATGGCACTGTTTTAAGTTGGTTTAGACACACCGTGCGTGCTTAGCATACTTGTCTTGTAATGCAATGAAATTGCCTTAACTTGCTTTGTGCTTTGAGCCTTGTTTCTAGCATGATTTTGGTTTAGCTTTGTGAAGCTTTTATGCATATTTTGGCATGATTTAGGCCTGATTTTGGTTGTTTGGGTCATCCATGACTTTCTTTGTATAGCTACCATGCAATCTAACTTGTATGCTTTGAGTGTTGGCTTCTCTACCATGCTCAATTTGCATCATTTCAATGGTTTGGCACCATTAGTTATGTCATTTCAGTCCTTATAGCATGCTTGTATGCTTGCATTTGATTCCCCTTTAATGCTTTAAAAGGCTTGTGTCTTATGCTTCTTGTTTATACCATTGTGCATGCCTCTAAGATTAGGTCATTTAGATCCCATCTAATTGGTTTTTGGGGCTCACTTTGGCATGATTTGGGGCTGTTTTGGTTCGCTTTGGTCATTTGCTTCATGTGTCACATGACCATAGTTTAGGTCCTTGGGCTTGATTGCATGCTTTGCTTGCATTGGTAGGTTGATTTGGCATCATCTTCTACATATTTTCAAAGCTCATCATGTATGCTATTTATCCATGTTAAGTATGCTTACAAGCTGCCTCTTTATGCTCAAGTGTTAGACTTTATGTGCATGAGTGTTTGTATATGCGTTGGCCTCGCATGTTGTCACATACTTGGCCCATAAACATCTTGTTACATGCTTAAATGATAGTGCATTTGGCATGCATTTCCTTTTGTTTGGTTGCCTAACATGTTACATGTCTTGCATGTTTGCATGTTTACATTGCATCTTGCATGCTTGTTAGCTTGCACACTTGTTACATGTTTGCATGTTTGCATGCTTGTTGGCATTCTCATGTTGCATACTTAGCTCAATTGGTGGTCCGAGAATCAAGTACCATGCTCCTTTGAGTCATGAATATGATAAGGAGTGTGGTTTGTGCAACCATTGCTTGAAATGCATTGTCATGCCATGTTTTGCCCTCTGCTGCTGTCAAAACAGGTTTCTACAGACAAAGATGGCCGGTCGACTACATAGAGTGCCGATCGACCAAACGTTTGTGGCCGAGAGCTCAATCAATGGTCGATGACCATCCTACCATGCTCGGTGACCATTTGTCTTAGCCGGTGGTGTTCCACAGTGTCCATAGAGCGCTCCCTGGGACTTTTGCAATTTTCAGAGGAGCAGAGCAGGGAAAACAGAGGCAACTTGTGCATGGCGATGGGTTTCTGATCAAATCCGAGCATGCATTCATTGGACCCTCTTCCCGAGGCATTTTATCGCTTTCTTTACTTAATTGATTTGTTAATTAATTGGGTGATTTGTAATATTCAATTAGCTTGTAGGTTAGTTAAATCTGTATTATTCTTTTGGTCCTTCCGAGCGAGGGCGAATTTGTAATAAGTGTGGGTGCGTGTGTGCATGTCTTCCAACCCCCACTTCTTTCTCCCTTTTACTTACCTGCTTTTGATGGTTAGTATTAGGGCACGTTTAATTTAGCATACCTTATGCTATGCATGTGTGCATCATTCATCAGCCTTGCATGCACCGAGCTCGGCGCATCATGCTAACCGCATAGTATTTCAATTCCTAACTTGAATACGTGCATCGATTTCTCGTATTTCACATGTCATCCTTAGATTAGCCGAGCCCATTCTAATGACATTTTTGTATGTCATGCATTAGCCACTTTAACATGAACTAGGATCATGCATGATTACTAACTAGTTCATTGTTTTGGTACGGAGTACAATGTAAGTATTTATGCTTTAGCATCTCGCATGAGTGTGAATGTTAACGTGACAGCATGCTTACCATGTGGCTATGTGCTTATGTGATATTACTGAATGAGTGCCTGTGGGTAAAGGTTGGATTGTTTGAATTGGGATAATTCATCGAAATCCGTATTTTAGCCTACTCGTGAGTAGCAAAATTCAAACCATTTTCCAAACAAACGAAAATACGATGCTTTGTTCCGACTTAGGCAATTTAGTCTATACTTGTTTTGCTGTACGCATCACATAGTAATTCTAGGCTAATAACCGGTATAAGAATGCATGATGTTTTCAAAACATGCGCATCACATAGTAATTCTAGGTTAATAACCGGAATAGGAATACATAATGCTTTCAAAACAAGATATCACGGTTAGTAGAGGCCAATCTTTGATCGGGCGAGAGGGGGTGCTCTTAGCTGACCTTCCCCAATCGTACCCAAGTTCCCGAGCCGAGGCAACTTTGGTGATGACGGACACATGGCCTTTGGCACCAAGTCAGGGTTTCCTAAATTTCCCAAAGTAAAATATTTAGGTGGCAACTCTGTATCTGGCAAAGCAGCCCATGTTTGGCACTTCTTTTCTAAAAATCTGTTTTCCAAAACGATTTTCCGGATTTGGACTCTTTGGTTCAGATTAAGAACCGTGACAATTTGAGAGTCCTGAACTGTAGTGAACCCAATATGAACAGAACGGGACTCATCCTCCCGGGGCGTTGGGGGACGTCTACACTTATACAAATTAATGCATTTGTCAAACGGTTTATTTTTAAAACCATTAAGAAAAGATGATTGAACAATTCAACATTATAATTCTGGAATAGTTTTGCCACTATTTCAACATAATTTCGACAAAATTTCAACATATTTTCTTCAGTTCCTATGAACAAAACACAAAAAAGAAGTCATCTCAATCATTGCCTTCTCAACCACTGCCTTTTAAACCATTTACAAGCAACAAACCATCATTGCAACATTCATTTCAAACCATCTCATCTTAACCATATTCAAGACAATATTCAATCTTCATATCAAACCACAACAAAAGTTCCATTGCAGAACAACAAATCACAACCAATATTTGATTACAAAATACAAAACAAATTTCATTTCAAACCGATGATTAACATCGTCATTACAAAACAAAACATAAGAAATGTCATAACCAAATCTTTCAGAATGAAATATTTTGCTTAAGCATTTGAATCTTCAACTTCAGCCTCTTGTTCCATAATTTGGTTATCAACAGCAGCCATGCTTTGATTATTTCTGTCAAGAGCAGCTATAATCTTCACCTTCCAGATTGCAGTATTACCATTTGGCCATCCCACAAAAAACTCCTTTGAAACTTCATATCAAACTAAGTCACCTTCCAGATTGCAGTATCACTGTTTGTCCACCCCACAAAAAAAAAAAAAAAAAAAAAAAAATTCTCCTTTGAAACTTCATATCAAACTAAGAAACAAGTGGGAAAAAAAAAGTTAAATCAACCAGTGAATATGAAAATTAAAAGCCATTAACAACACTCAAATCTATCAAACTACATACAAGCAGCATAAGTGATGATACAAATTTCAGTCACTTGAATCTTAGAAATATATATGATCAAATACATTTCATGTAGTTTGAATAGGGTTATCTTTTGAAGTTGCCCATGTGCAATCTGCACTATAATTGTTACCTAGGAAGCATGGATACGGATACGGGATACAGGTACGATACAATACAGATACGGCGATACTACAAAATTTGAAAAACTAGGATACGGATACGGCGGGGATACATTCATAAAAAATATTATTTTTACAATTTTTAGTAATGTAGCATACATAAAAATAAAACTTCAATTCAAATTCATTAATGTAGTTATCTTTTGGCATGAACATAAAAAAAATAAAAATAAAAATTCAACAATATAGCATCACCCATAACAACAACCATAATGCAATTCAAATTAAGGGGGGGGGGAATTTACAAAATTCATTTATTTAAAAATAAGTTTATTTATTTATTTATTTGCTTATAAGAAATTAATTTAAACTAATTTACAAAGTTCAACTTATTTTAATTCTTTTAAACTAATAATCAAAAATTTTACAAATATAAAAGCTAATATTTATATATATATATATGTGATATCAAATGGGCCAAAAATATTACTGACAGAGTATACTTCTAAAAATATATATATATATATATATACATATCAAATGGGGCCAGTCTACAAAGGTCGAAAGGGAAAGCGAGAGATAGAGCGAGAGAGAAAGATAGACCGAGAGAGAGAGAGAGAGAGAGTCAGATCGAGGGAGATTTGTCTATCCAGACCAAAGAGATCGAGCAAGAGGGAGAGGGAGAAAGAAAGAGTGAGATCGAATGAGAGGGAGAGAGAGAGAGGGATGAACCTGATCGATCGACGAGCTACTGTTCAACGAGACGACGAGTTGTTGTTTGATAGAGACGACGACGAGCTGCTGATAGAGATGACTCCTCTCCTCTCCTCTTTGCTGCTGCTGTCGTGACTAGGTAGGGTTTGGTTGATTTGTGTTTTTTTGTTTTATTTGACCTATTTTGTTATTTTATAGTTTGACCCCTGTTATATGTTTTTAAAATTATTTTTTTGCCCTGCTGTATCCCGAAAGTATCTCGACTGTATCCCTGAAGTATCCTCGCGTATCCCAAACATATCCGAAATTTAAAATATTAAAAAAAAAATAGGATACTCTTTTTCCCGTATCTGATATGTATCCCACCGTATCGGGCGCGTATCTGCATCCGATACGCATACGGGGGTCATTTCAGAGTATCCGTGCTTCATAGATTGTTACCTACAATAGAATGTATTTGAAGTAGGAATGCAGGACACAACCTTTTTTTGAGGCAAAAATTTGTTCTTCTCAAATTTAATATGCATGTTGCTTAATAATAATACAATAAGAAGGATGAAACAAACAAGAAAAAAAATGTCAAATAAATTAAAATTAAGGACAAAAATTTTAGAAGCATTTTAGAAATGTTAAAAAGCTTTTAAGTTCACTCTGTTTGGTTGAGTTTTCAAATTCATTTTTTGAAATTTTTTTAGAAACTAGTTAACCAAGTTGTGAAAATTGAGAAATACAGGTTTTTCTTTAGTCATTTTTCAATACACAATTCTATCAACTATTTCAAATTTATATATTTTCGTATAACTTTAGTTGCATTATTCATGGAATACGCCCAAAGTGAATTGCTTCTGGATATGGAAAACAAAATTCTCGAAATCTCAAATCAAACAACGAAATCCCTAATCCTAATATCTTCTAATAAAAATAAGCTTTTAGCAATACCCGTTTCAATCTATAAAAATTAAAAAATTGCTTACCCAAATCAAAGTGTGAAATCTTTTCGATTCTCCATCGACTTTCATTTGTCGACTATAAGATATACTCTGAATTTAAAGAGTTTCAGCGGGAGAGAAAGAGAGAGAGAGAGAGAGAGAGAGAGAGACTGGAGTGACTGGACTGAGGGAGTAGCCCTCTGTTTGTAGTTCTGATCTCCTTTTCTTCTTGTTTGTTTTACCATTTCCTTTGAATAAAAAAAAAAGATACTATAATTGAAATGTGTGTAAGATTGATTGACTTGTTTGATGAAATGGTTTGCTGAGATGTTTCGAGAAAAGGGTTCGTCGTTTTTTTTTTTTTTTGGGTCTCTACAAAAGAGTAATTTTATGAAGAAAAAAGGTTTTGGGTCTTTGTTTATTAGGTGGGTCCTATAGGTCTAAAGTGGCAATGTCACATCACCTGTTGGTATGTTTGTTAGTAGAGTAGTTAGTGTATACAGCTTTATTCGGAATCAATGGTGCTAGATGCACCAATTACCCTACTAACTACTATACCAATAGCTGATGTGGCATTGCCACCTCAAAAATTATTGACCCCACCTAATTTACAAAGACCTAAACCCCTACGTTCTCCAAACCCTCTCACAATCTATCGCTGCCCAACTTTTCACCTCCCAAGTTTCTTGGGCTCTCACGTTCCACAACAACACAAGCAATGATCACCAGCGGTAACGACATTGCCGAAACGACAATTGTTCTCTTTTGTCATCTCTCATCACCAGGTGCATACTGTCAGAGGTTCAATATAACTTTTTGCTCTAGATTTTGTGCCTTCTCACATTCTGCAACAAGTAATCGCGTTCTACCTCATCTCACGAAATGCAAAACTGTTATTATGGTTTTGCATTTTTTTTTCCTCTAAATTCTTTACGTAACTGTCATTATGACTCTGCATTTTTTTCCTATATTGGTTGTAGTCATCTATTGCCCACCCAATATATTACTTTGGTGATGATGGTGTCCCTGCATTGTTTTAGGCTAGTTGTTTTTATTGTAATTTTTTTTTTAATTACCCAGTCAATGTTATCTTCATTAATGTTGCAATAGACCAAGTCTACTATCTTTTAAATGACTGCCAAATTGGATTATTTTTGTAAGGGTTCTTGTTTGATCTCTATTCTGTTTCTTTTGTTATTTATGAAATTTTCTGATGTTTTTCTTTTTTTTGGAAAAAAAATAATTTGATTAATGCACTAGTACTATAAAAAACAACAATGAAGAATAAAAATCAATTTATCTACATTTTAAGTGTTGATATACTACAGTTGGTTTCGTGCTTTATTGAATACTGTATAATTTATGTTGCTTGTGATCAAACTGATTGATCTTGTTATTATTGCAGAGAGATGGAAGGAATACCAAGTAATTATCAAAGTATGGACTATAATAAGAATAACATTCAGAATGAAACAGAGAAACAAATTGTGGAGTTTAATGAAAGGCATATTGAGAATGAAACAGAGAAACAAATTGTGGAGTTTAATGAAGGGCATATTGAGAATGACAAAAATAAAAATGTTGAAGAGCAAATAGAGGATCCTAAGGTTGGAATGCTATTTGACTCCATTGATGAGATTGTTAAATTTTACCAACAATATGCAAAGGGAATGGGTTTTGGTATGTTAATTAGAAGCTCTAGAAAAGTACAAGGGCAAGTCAGATATGTGACAGTGGCTTGTAGCCACACTGGAAAGCCCAGGATCAACTCCAGTAAACTCTATCAATTGCAGCCACAATCAAAAACTAGTGGCAAAGCTAAGATTTGTGCAGTTTTATGCAATGATGGGAAATGGATGTTGAACTCTGTGGTCCTTGACCATAACCATAGAGTGAGTCCAAGCAAAGCTCGATTTTACAAATGTCATAGGTTTCTCACTACAACTGTGAAAATGAGGCTTGAATTGAATAACGTGGCTGGTATTAGAACGAATAAAAGTTTCAATTCACTTGTGGTTGAGGTAGGGGGACATGAAAATTTTTCATTTCTAGAGAAGGATGCAAGAAACTATCTCGATGTAGTTAGGCGTTTACAGCTTTGGGAATGAGATGCTATCGCTATGCACAATTACTTTTTGAAGATGCAAGCTGACAATTCTTATTTCTTTTATATGATGGATTTAGATGACGATGGTCGACTAAAAAATGTATTTTGGGCAGATGCAAGGAATAGAGCCGCATTCAAAGAATTTGGTGATGTAGTTACATTTGACACAACATACTTGGTTAACAAATTTGCCATGCCATTCGCTCCTTTCGTAGGGGTAAACCATTATGGGCACTCAACATTATTGGAGTGTGGATTGATATTAGGGGAAGACACCAAGACTTTTATGTGGCTATTTCAATCTTGGCTTTCATGCATGTCTGGATGTCCCCCTAGTGCAATTATTACAGATTAGGACAAAGTTATGAAAAAAGCTATAGAGTGTGTTTTCCCTAATTCACAACATCGATGGTGCTTATGGCATATCATGAAAAAGCTTCCTGAAAAGTTGAGTGGGCATAAACAATATGAATCAATCAAGTTTTGTATTCAAAATGCAGTTTATGATTCCTTAACAAAAGAAGAATTTGAAAAGAACTGGGAACATTTCATTGAGCAGTATAAACTTGAAAGTAATGAATGGCTACTTAGGTTTTATGACAAGAGGCATCGTTGGGTACTAGCCTTTGTTATAGATATTTTTTGGGCAGGAATGTCAACCACACAATGGAGTTAAAGCATGCATGCATTCTTTGATGGGTATGTCCATTCGAAGACTACTTTGAAACAATTTGTAGAACAATATGAGAATGCTTTGGCAAAAAAGGTTGAAAATGAAAACAATGACGGCTTCAGTTCTTTGAACTTGTGCATCCCATGCATAGTTGGTTATGACATGGAGAAACAATTTCAAAGTGCTTACACGACTGCAAAATTTAAAGAGTTTCAGCGGGAGTTATTAGGGAAGATTTCTTGTGATTTGTCTTCATGTAAGAAACGTGTTGCCATTTCAGAATATGAAGTTGCTAAAGATTAATGTTTGAAAAGAGTCGGCGTCGTGTAACTTTTAATGTTTGCTTTCATGAGGATACAAGTGAGGTTGAATGTAATTGTCGGTTATTTGAATATAGGGAAATATTGTGCAGGCATCAAATTGTGGTGTTAATTCATAAGAAGGTTGATCAAATACCGGACAAGTACATCTTAAGAAGATGGCCTAAAAATGTCAAAAGGAGCCACACAAAAGTTCGGATCAGTTATTACAATTGGGCTATGAAACCTGAGGCACATCGCTTTGCTAAAATGTGCAATGCCTTTTATGAGGTTTCTGAGTTGACAGAAGATTCTGAAGATAGATATGAAAAGGTGATGGAGTGAATATGTGAGCTAAACATCAGCTTTAAAGAAGGGAGTTGCAGAAGCAATAAGGATATTTCAAAAGTTCATCAAAAGAATCCAACCTCGTGTGGGAATGGTTTTGGAATTCCAAAAGAAAACATAAACATACTTGATCCATCAATTGTTCACCAAAAAGGGCGCTTACCATACAAAAGGAAGCAATCTAAGGTTGAAAAAGTTATTAAGAAAAGAAAGGAAAGAAAAAAGAAAACACAGACCACTGAAAGTCAAATTGATGAAAGTGTGGAGAAGGTGGTGGTGTAGTTGCATTTTATTGATTGGTAATTACTTTATACTATTGTTAATAATATTTCCTAACTTCTTTTATTTTACATTTTTGTAGGAGCCTATGAACCAAAGAAACATGCATGATACGAGTTGTGCTATGGGATTTGTTGGACTTGGAACACAAGAGAGTATTGATTTAAATGTAAGAATCTTTATTTTATATCATCAATAATTGTTAGTTGCTTTAAAAAATGTAATTATGTTACACACAATGTAGGATTCTACATTCCAACAATCACAACATACTGGTGGTAGGAGTTATGACTTTCAGAAAGTGTCACATATGCGGCCAAGCATGGTTAGGCAACCAAGTATTACTGGGATAAGTCCATTCTTTGGGCAGCCAAATATGCTATAAAGAGGAAGTGCATATTTTTTGACTGGTATGGTTGGAAAAGGATTTGGCATGTATCTATCTTAGGTACGCATTTTTTCCATCATAGTAGTACATCTTTATGTTTAAAAAAAAATGTCATTCAATTTTTTGTTTTGTTTTTAGGGTCATCATTCATCTTCATCGTGGAGAGGAGGCTTTGAGATGGCACCTATACATCCCATTGGCTTAACCGAAATGTTGACAATGAATGATTTGACGCAAGTAAAAGATCCAAGATTGCATAAAGATAGATCAGGAAAAGAAAGTTATGATGGAAAGTGATGTTGATTGAGCAAACTTGCAAATGATCTACTTTGTTTCAATGTGTTTTTGCTTGATCTCTATTTGTTCTCTAAATGACAATGGGAATATTGTTTTTTTTTTTTTTTTTTTGAATAAGCTGAAATGCATAAAATAAACTGAGGTTTAAACTTCAAATTGAGATTTGAATAAACTTAAAGTTGCTTGTCCCTCAAAAAAAAAAAAAAAAAACCGATATTCCCATTGTCATTTAAAGATCAAACAGGGATAAAGCAAAAACACATTGAAACAAAGTAGATCATTTGCAAGTTTGCTCAGTCAACATCACTTTTCATCATAACTTTCTTTTCCTGATCCATCTTTGTGCAATCTTGGATCTTTTACTTGCGTCAAATCATTCATTGTCAACATTCCAATTAAGCCAGTGGGATGCATAGGCGCCATCTCAAAACCTCCTCTCCATGATGAAGATGAATGATGACCCTAAAAAAAAAATTAAAAAAAAAATTGAATGACATTTTTTTTTTAATAGAAAGATGTACTACTATGATGGAAAAAATGCATACCTGAGATGGATACATGCCAAATCCTTTTCCAACCATACAAGTCGAAAAATACGCACTTCCTCCTTGTAGCTTATTTGGCTGCCCAAAGAATGGATTTATCCCGGTAATACTTGGCTGCCCAACCATGCTTGGCCGCATATGTGACACCTTCTAAAAGTCATAACTCCAACCACCAGTATGTTGTGACTGTTGGAATGTAGAATCCTACATTGTG